GTCAGAAACGAGCCCTCCTCCTCACTTTCCCGCCCCTGGCAGCTGGCACCTTTCTTGGCACACAGAAGAGGCATTAATTAACATTTGCTAAAGGAAAGTAAATGAACTGCACTGTATTTTTTGAACCCCATCACTCAGTTTCTTAACAATTAACAGGTGATAACACCGGCTTCACTATAACCCAAAGGCCAAAGAGACCACATGAGGGTTAAAATGAAGCAGGTAGGGATGGCTCTCTCTGCAACCGTCCCAGTAAGTGGTACCCCCCCCACCCATTAATGCTGCCACAAGCGTGCGGGCTAACTGCCATCTCCCACATTCTGGAACCAAGGGGCTGCTTCCAGAACTCAGGTCCAGAAAAGACAGCTGCACTGCCGGATGTAATCTTTGCACTGTCTTTTCAGGGCTCCGGGAGGAAAGCCCTATTCAATCAAAAATCTCCTATGAGAGGGGCGCCTGGGTGGCTCAGTCAGTTAAGCTTCCGACTTCGGCTCAGGTCATGATCGCACGGTCCGTGAGTTCGAGCCCCGCGTCGGGCTCTGTGCTGACAGCTCAGAGCCTGGAGCCTGCTTCAGATTCTGTGTCTCTCTCTCTCTCTGCCCCTCCCCCGTTCATGCTCTGTCTCTCTCGGTCTCAAAAGTAAATAAACGTTAAAAAAAAATTAAAAAAAAAAAAAAATCTCCTGTGAGGAAAGACGCTTTTGGGCGAGTCCGAAACATTATTAGTAAACTACCAAGAAGAGCCTTTTGCTGGCAGATAAACCTGCCTAGAAGAAATGGAAAATGATTTTGTCCTTCATGATCAAGTCAGCAAACCTGTGTTTGGGTTTTTGTTTTGTTTTGTTATCAGAGTGGAAGAACACAGCCGCCCCTTCTCTGACGAACACACCGATTATACACAAGAAAACCGTGCATCCCCTGAGCAGGTTCACGGTGACAACGTGCTGATCGAATGAAGCTGAATCCCCAGAAGGGGTTCTTATTTACTCATTTCAGACATGCAGACACAAGAGCAAAAAATACAGGGTTCCACTTCTTGCTCTCAGTTTCAAATAACAATAACAAAGGTAACAGCCTCAGAGGAGAGTCCAGGCAGAAGCTGAACAAGTAATGGCCAACTCTTAGTTATCTGCGCTAATCAGGGAAAGAAAAACGTGAATAGTTTAAATTTTTTTTAATGTATATTTATATTTGAGAGAGAGAGAGGGAGAGAGAGACAGAGCGCAAGCGGGGAAGGGGCAGAGAGAGAGGGAGACACAGAATCCGAAGCAGGCTCCAGGCTCTGACCTGTCAGCACAGAGCCCGACGCGGGGCTCAAACCCCCCGAACCGTGAGATCGTGACCCTAGCCGAAGCCAGACGCTTAACCGACTGAGCCACCCAGGCACCCCAGATGTGAATAATTTAAAAGAACCACCATCAAAACAAGACAAAACGAAAACCTAACTCTTACATTAAGCAATGTTCCAACCTCTGTCCCTACTGAAACTCTTACGAGAGTTCCTGCTGTTCCTGATGATGGCTTTCTTCCCTAAGGCTTTGTGTCAGGAAGCTCCCTTCCGAAACAGGTCCTTCCCCTGGCCTCTCTTTGTAGCTGGCTCAGAGACATAACAGAGCCACAGTGGGCACAGGCAGCTCCTGAATGATGCCTCACTCGCCTCTGCATCCTCCATACCTAGAACCGCGTCTGGTTCATTGCACGTGTTCAACAAATGTTCGCGTAATTGATGTGAAATGATTATCTAACAGAAATATGCTCGAGTTCCAGCTTGGGCCCTAACTACTGACAAGTCACATTATTTCCTTATGTGAAAAGTGAGGAAGGTAGACTGGGCTAGCCCTGATGCCTCTGGGTTGCCCGTATCTGGGGGACCAACCCCCACCCCCTGCCACTCCTACTTGAGTTCCAGCCATTGCCATTTAGGCAGAGCACTGTGGGAGCGGTCCCCTCAGAGCCGCGCACCTGCCACAGTCCTGCACCCCTTCTGGTTTTATAACTCAGTAAAGAGGGGCGCCGGAGTGGCTCAGTTGGTTAAGCGTCCAACTTCAGCTCAGATCTCACAGTTCATGGGTTCGGGCCCCGTGTCAGGCTCTGTGCTGACAGCTTGGAGCCCGGAGCCTGCTTCGGATTCTGTGCCTTCCCCTCTCCTGCTCGTGCTCTGTCTCTCAAAAACAAATAAATGCTTAAATAAATCGGTAAAGAAATAGGCAATCTTGCAAGACTAAGTGTGCATGACCTATTTATTGAACAATCAAACACTGACTAAGCACCTGCTAGCCTTTACAGAATAGAAATACTGAGCAAAAGACCTTGTTAATGAGTTGAAAAAGTCAGGCATATAACGAAAGGGTAACTAGCGAGGGACGTCCATATGTGATCAATGCCCAAATAATAAGACAGCCAATAAATGCTGCGAGACTCAAGGAGAGTGATCACGGTGGTCGGGGAGGCCAGACTTGAAGGGGCCCAACACATCTAGACCTGCAACAGAAATCCTCTGTTTGTGCTCAGGTATCACAGTAAGTCGACACTGCAGTCTGAGGATATGTACTAACTATAGTATTATTTCCTGCTTCTCTTCTGATGAAGCTGATGGCACAGGGTGACAGGTCAAAAGCAAAGAAGCAGGAGAAGCAGAAAACAAAACAAAACCACCACTACAACAAAAAACCCAAAAACCAAACCAAAACAAAACAAAAACCTCTGAAAGCAACATACTAAGTAAATGCCAGGTGGCTACAGAGATTTAGGCCAAGCTCAGACTGATATTCGGGACACATGCACCTGTCACTAGGAGGCCTGAAAATATTCTCGTATTTGCAAGTGATTTATCTGAGCCACCCATACAGATGCCTCCAAACAACCCGGGGCAATACAAAGGTGCCACAGTGCCCACAAACCCTCAAGTCCACAACCCCGCGGTCACTTTTAAGTGTCTGGGGAAGGCACGGTGATTTTCTGGCAGCAGGTTTATTTTCCTGACCGTGCGCTGCTCCTGCTGGTGCAGCAATGACACTGCGTTCCCGGAGCACGGGTGCACCGACAGATGGTGTGAGAGGACCAGAGTCACGCGAACGGCTTCCGTGAAGCCAGCCCGGAATGCAAATGGAATCTGCAGAGAAGTTACCCTAGGAGAACCAGAAACTGACTCTACGATCGGACTGCCACTCAAACAATGGCATGGGATGCACAGGAAGCCAAACTGTGTCCCCTACCATATGTCTTGCACAGCAGTGCCCCAACCATCACACCGTTTGTTGGCCTGGGATCTTAGTCCTGGAGGATGGACTCCTTCCGAGTGAGGGGAAACATCTTACTTTAGAGACTCAGTAGCCGGCACGATTCAGGTTTGCTAAGCGCGTGAGATGCGAACTGATAATTGACGGATAAATAAATAAGTGGACGGATAGGTAAATAAATGGCAGCTCAAATGTGGGAAGCACAGCGCTCGGTGACTGTCCTCATGGGAGCAAACACCAATCGGAATGCAAATACAGTGCTGCACACAAACAGGGCTTCTGACTCTTGGCTCCAGAGAAGCAGCTGACCAGGGCCATACGGACTGGAGAACAGCCAGACGCCAGGACTTGGCTTCTCTCTGCTTCTTTGAGGCCAGGCTCCTCAGCACAGGGCAAATTCACCACAGGGGAAACCAGATGCTAAGGCCTCTTTTTTCAAGCCACCCACCTCTCTCTTGCGGCTGAACCCTGTTTCTAAAAGGAGCGAAGGAAAAGAAGGCTTTCTTCTTTGCATTAAACAAGATGATTAGTGAGGCCTCTCCACCTCCGTTAGTAATACATCTTGTGGGTTCAGCTCAAAACTGGGAGGGCGCCTGGGTGGCTCAGATGGTTAAGCGTCCAACTCTTCATTTTGGCCCAGGTCATGACCTCACGGTTTGTGGGTTCAAGCCCCGTGTCAGGCCCTGTGCTGACAGAGAGGAGCCTGCTTGGGATTCTCTGTCTCCCTCTCTCTCTGCCACTCCTCAATTAGCATGTGTGCACGTGCGCTCTAGCTCTCCCTCTCGCTCTCAAAATAAATAACCTTTCTTTTAATTTTTAACATTTATTTATTTTTGAGAGAGAGGGAGCATGAGCATGGGCAGGGGAGGGGCAGAGAGAGAGGGAGACACAGAGAGAGAAGGAGCTGTCAGCACAGAGCCCGATGCGGGGCTCGAACTCACAAACCATGAGATCATGACCTGAGCTGAAATCGGATGCTCAACCAACTGAGCCACAGGCTCATTTTTTTAAAAATAGGGAGAAGTGACAGCCCGTGTGCCCTGACGTAACGTTAACAAAACTAACTTTTGTCCCAACTCAGACAAAAATAATCAAAGTGGTTCCGATAAAAGCAGACTTACGCAGGCAGAGTTTACAGACCCTTGACATTTTTGCTTTTCAGAGCACTACATCTGCAAAGAGTACAGAATGCAATTTAACATGAGTACCAGTCCGGCCTGTCACTAACAGATGTGGGAATCCTCAGCAAGCTACCTTACCTTACTAAGCCTCAGTTTTCTCATTTACAACATGAAGCAGTTAACCCCAAATGTCCCTTCTAGGTCTGTTCCTATGAATCCCAAAACCCAAATGGATCACAGCAGAAGTCAACGGATTACCACGTAAAATGCATTCTGAAATGACTACTCAGGTACTATTATCATTTACCGACTGTTTTTATTATCACTCATTCTATGCCACACACAGAGCAAAGAAAGACAAGTTAAAGTCCCTAGTTAATTGTTTGGTCATTATTAATTTACATTTATAGACAGCTGTCCTTTGTAGGCTCAATAAAATTATTTCATCTGTTCCTTATGATACCCCCTTGAAATAGGAAGGGCAGATTATCATCCCCCTATTAGAAATGGGGAGTTATTACGCTGAGGTCATAAACTGTGCCGTCAACAATCTAGGGCTGTAGAGAGATAATCCGCTTATACTCACAGACTTAAATTTTGGGAAGTACGTTAAAAGAAAAAGCTTCATCGGAAACACTTACTTCAGCTCATTGGTTTCCATGCCCTGGGCGATGGCCATGATGATGCCGCCATGATCTCCCCAAGTATAGTAGTGAGGTCCAGGAAGTGCCTAAAGAGGAAAAGCCAGCGCTGATGCCACCGCTGTGGAGGTGACTGGGCAGAAACCATGCACGCCACACAGGCACACACATACACGGCACACACATGAAAATGCAGCAGCAACACCAACCACTTGAATACAATGTTTTGGTTTTCAGGGCACATTCACATCCATTACTTCGTTTGCTCCACATGACCCTGGGATAGGACAGCAAGTTCTCATATCCTAATTTTTTTTCTTTCGCAAATGAAGAAAGCAGGGTTCATATTAAAGGGGCTGACTATAAACAGTAGAGGCAGGAGTCAAACCCAAATCTACTCTCACCAACCAGAGATTAAAAATTAACCAACTGGAGGGGCGCCTGGGTGGCTCAGTCGGTTGAGCGTCCAACTGCGGCTCAGGTCACGATCTTGCGGTTTGTGAGTTCGAGCCCCGCGTCGGGCTCTGTGCTGACAGCTCAGGGCCTGGAGCCTGCTTCGGATTCTGTGTCTCCCTCTGTCTCTGTCCCTCCCCTGCTCACGTTCTGTCTCTCTCTTTCTCTCAAAAATAAATAAACATTAAAAAAAAATTTAACAATTAACCAACTGGAGTTCGAATTCTACCGTGATTATATAAACCCACAGCAGTCCATCGTCCCTGCCAATTACAACTGAAAACTTTGAACAAGATACAAAAATCAGCTGCCCAAGGATGCTGAAAAGTAAACAAAATCAGGTGGCTTGTGTAGGGGACTTAAAAACCTGAGAAGCTACCATAAGGTTGGGGTTCCCTGGTATGGCTTTGCCCCAAGGGAAAGTCCCAGTCGTGGAATACCTCAGTCCCAGATGGATGGTTAAACCTTCAGGAGAAACTGTTTCTGCCTAAGGAATCAGGAAACGAAGCCACTACAGGCCTGGGAGAATGTGGATGAAATCCCAGAGGGGAAAGTGTCAAGCAAGTAAATCCTCTAATTCTGTGTATATGAACTCATGCCCAACCCCTAAACTAAACATGTGTGCAGCAGGACCTAAACCAGCACAGCAAAGGTTTAGCGAACGGAACTGAGATTTTAACTGCCACCCTCAGAATACAAAAAGGAAGCTCAAGTCTGAATCTGAGCAGATTTACTACATGCTAAAACAAAAATATCGACATTCCTCCAGTAGATTTTATTCCACGCATCTCATTCACATGTCCAGCACACAATCCAAAATTAATCAACATGCAAGCATACCAATAAAACGTGTCCAATTCTCAAGGGAAAAGACAATCAACGGGGCCAACACCAAGATGATTCAAATGCCAGAATAACCGAAGACTTTAAATAACGATCATAACTCTGTCTCATGAGTTAAAGGAAAACACACTTGAAACGAACAATAGACATGAATTCTTCCCAGAGAAGTGGAAACTCTTTTTTAAGGAAAGAATTTTAGAACAGAAAAATCTAACATCTGAAGTAACAAATTCACTAATGGGCTCAATGACAGAATGGAAATGACAGAGGAATTGGTGAACTTAGCAATAAATATAGAAGAGTAGAAATTATGCATCCTAAAGAGCACACCAGGGGCGCCTGGGTGGCTCAGTCGACTTCGGCTCAGGTCATGATCTCACATCTCATGAGTTCGAGCCCTCTGGCAGGCTCTGTGCTGACAGCTCAGAACCTGGAGCCCGCTTCGGATTCTGTGCCTCCCTCTCTCTCTGCCCCTCCCAGCTCGCACTCTGTCTCTCTGTCAAAAATAAACAAACATAAAAAAACATTTTCAAATTAAAAAAAAGAAAAGAACACACAAAAAAAGATTGAAAAGAAAAAAGCCCCACAGACAGGGAGGACAATAATAAAAGGTCTAAGCATGTGTAACTGGAGTCCAAGAATAACAGGAAAAAGGGACTAGAGCAGGGAAAAAAAAAAAAAAAAGAAAGAAAAAAAAATTGAGGACATAATGGCTGAAACTTTCCCATATGTGGTGAAAAACATACATTCACACACTCAAGATCAGCATACACACACAGGACAAACGCAAAGAAAACCACATCTAGATATGTCACAAGAAAACTGCTGAAAACCAAAGATAAGGAAAAAAAACATTGAAGCATTTACACAAAATGACGCATTGCATACAGGAAACTGGAAACTAAAATGACTACAGATTTCTCGTAAGAAACCAGGGAGGCAAGAAGATAGTAGCACGTCTTTAAAGCACCGAGAGAAAATTACTGTCAAACCAGAATTCTATATCCAGCACACATATCCTCCAGGAAGGAAAGCGAAATACAGAGATTCTCAAATGAAGGAAAACCAAGAAAATGCGTAGCCAATAGGTCTGCTCAACAAAAAATGCTAAAGGAGTTTCTTGAGGCCGCAGGGAAACCTATCAGGGGCTTACAGGGATTCTCAGGAATGAAGAAAGGGCAAAAGAAATAACCTGGGTAAATACGAGAGACTGTTTTTTTCCCCCTTGAACTCTTTAAAACTGGTATTAAAACTGGTATTTAAGGGGCGCCTGGGTGGCGCAGTCGGTTAAGCGTCCGACTTCAGCCAGGTCACGATCTCGCGGTCCGTGAGTTCGAGCCCCGCGTCCGGCTCTGGGCTGATGGCTCAGAGCCTGGAGCCTGTTTCCGATTCTGTGTCCCCCTCTCTCTCTGCCCCTCCCCCGTTCATGCTCTGTCTCTCTCTGTCCCAAAAATAAATAAACGTTGGAAAAAAAAAAATTTAAAAAAAAAAACAAAAAAAAAAACTGGTATTTAAAAACAGGTAAAGCAAAACAAAAGCAAAAACACTGTCTTATAGTGTTTTAATGTATCTCGATGGGATACACAGAATAATAACAAAAAGGTCAGGAAAAGAGAAAGGGACTTACGTGCTCGCAAGGTTTCTACATTTTAGGTTAGGTGTAACATTATGTTAAGAGCAATGTTAATTCAAAAAAGACCATGGAAGATTAAATACACATGTTGTCATCCTCAGAGTAACCGCTAAAAAAATACAAAGAGAGGCACCTGGGTGGCTCAGTTGGTTAAGAAACCGACTCTTGCTTTTGGCTCAGGTCATTATCTCATGGTTCCTGGGTTCAAGCCCCACGTCAGGCTCCACACTAATAGGGTGGGGCCTGCTTGGGATTCTATCTATCCCTCTCTCTCTCTGCCCCTCCCATGTTCTCTCAAAATAAATAAATTATTTAAAAAATATAAAGAGGGGCGCCTGGGTGGCGCAGTCGGTTAAGCATCCGACTTCAGCCAGGTCACGATCTCGCGCTCCATGAGTTCGAGCCCCGCGTCAGGCTCTGGGCTGATGGCTCAGAGCCTGGAGCCTGTTTCCGATTCTGTGTCTCCCTCTCTCTCTGCCCCTCCCCCGTTCATGCTCTGTCTCTCTCTGTCCCAAAATAAATAAAAAACGTTGAAAAAAAAAATTTAAAAAAAAAATAAAAAATATAAAGAAATATAATAAAAAAGACAGTACCTAAATAAAAGTAGAATGCCAAAACTATCTAAATAATATTAAAAAGGCAGTAAAGGAAGAGCAGAGGAATAAAAAATAAAGATCATATATACATACATAAAATCCTGGACCTAAATCCAACTATATCAATAATTATGTTAAATGGTAACAGTCTTGGGCACCTGGGTGGCTCAGTCGGTTAAGCTCGGGTCTTGATCTCAGGGTCATGAGTTCAAGACCTGCATTGGGTTCACACCCAATAAATAAAATAAGTAAATAAATAAAATGGTGAATTTTATGGTATGTGAATTACATCTCAACTTTAAAGGGGACCATTAAAAAATATTCTGAACTGAGTGACAGCAAAATTATAACATCTCTAAAATTTGTGGCCGTAGCTAACACAGTATTTAGAGGAAAACTTACAGCTTTAAATGTTTCTATTAGGAAAAACATCTAAAATCAGTGACCTAAAGTTACACCAAAAAAACTACAAGAAAAGCAAAGTAAATCCGAAGTAAATAACGTTAAAGACAATACTAAAGAGCAGAAATCAACAAAAGAAAGCACAGAGACAAAGCCAAAAGCATGTTCTTTAAAACGATCAACAATAGGGGCGCCTGGGTGGCGCAGTCGGTTAAGCGTCCGACTTCAGCCAGGTCACGATCTCGCGATCCATGAGTTCGAGCGCCGTGTCAGGCTCTGGGCTGATGGCTCAGAGCCTGGAGCCTGTTTCCGATTCTGTGTCTCCCTCTCTCTCTGCCCCTCCCCCGTTCATGCTCTGTCTCTCTCTGTCCCAAAAAAAAATAAACGTTGAAAAAAAAAAAATTTAAAACGATCAACAATATTGACAAACCAGTAACTAAACTAATAAAAGCAAAATAGAAAAAAAAACACACAAATTATCAATATCAGGAATGAAAACAGGTTATCACCACAGATCCTATAGACATTTAAAAAAATTAAAAAATAGGGGCGCCTGGGTGGCTCAGTCGGTTAAGCGTCCGACTTCGGCTCAGGTCACGATCTCACGGTCCGTGAGTTCAAGCCCCGCGTCGGGCTCTGGGCTGATGGCTCAGAGCCTGGAGCCTGCTTCCGATTCTGTGTCTCCCTCTCTCCCTGCCCCTCCCCCGTTCATGCTCTGTCTCTCTCTGTCTCAAAAATAAATAAAAACGTTAAAAAACAATAAATTAAAAAATACCTTGAGTCATTTTAACCCAATAAGTTCAATAACTTAGATGAAACTCACCAAGACAGATACAAGTCGTAGAAAATCTGAATAGTTCTCTGTCTGCCAGAGAAACTGAATTTCTAACCAAAACATTCCCAAGAAGACTCCCAAGAATAAAAATGTGCTACTAAAAATAAATTTGAAAAAAATTAAAAAAAATAAAAAATAATTTAAAAAAAACAGAAAAAAAGTGAAAATACATTCACTGGTTAATTATTCAAGAAAAAAAATAACACCACTTTTACATAAAAGAGGAATCACTGCTCAACTTGTTCTATGACACCAGCCCAACCCTAACACCAAAACTTGAAAAGACATTACAAAAAAAAAAAAAAAAAAAAAAAAAAAAAAAAAAAAAAAAGCAGACCAGTATCTCTCGTGAATAATGTAAAAATCTGTAACAAAGTATTAGCGACTCAAACCTAACCTTATATAATAAGGATAATATATCGGGGCGCCTGGGTGGCTCAGTTGGTTGAGCGTCCGACTTTGGCTCAGATCATGATCTCACGATTCGTTAGTTCGACCCCCCGCGTCAGGCTCTGTGCGGGTAGCTCGGAGCCTGGAGCCTGCTTCGGATTCTGTGTCTCACTCTCTCTCTCTCTGCCCCTCCCCAGCTTGCACTCTGTCTCTCCTTCTCTCAAAAATAAATGAACATTAAAAAAAATTTTTAATCAGGATAATATATCATAATGAAATCGAGTTTATCCCAGTAATTCGAGATTAGTATAATAGTCAAGAATCAAACAATGTAAATACCATATCATATATGTGATGGTACGATAATGAAAAAAATTACATACTTTGGTCTTCATTCCCAGCTCCTGGTCAGAGCTCTTAAAAACCTTGTAACGACTGATGGGAGTGATGTGTATCTTATATATCCTATATCCCTTAGAACTTCCTAGATGATTGGAGAGTCCTTTGTTCTAATAAGGTGACTCTCGGTGGACCCCTGGACAGTACAGGGGCTGGCTACCAGAAAAGCTAAACACGATTAGAAGCCTGAAACTTTCAGCCCCACCCCATCCCCTGGGGAAAGGACAGAGGGCTGGAGAGTCTAAGTTCATAATCAATCATGCCTAAATGATGAAGCCACCATTAAAAAAAAACATCCCTGGGGCTCCTGGGTGGCTCAGTCAGTTGAGTATCCGACTGACGTCACGATCTTGCAGTCCATGAGCTGGGAGCCCCACGTCGGGTTCTGTGCTCACAGCTCAGAGCCTGGGGCCTGTTTCAGATTCTGTGTCTCCCTCTCTCTCTGCCCCTCCCCCGCTCATGCTTGCTCATGCACGCGCACTCTCTCTCTCTCTCTCTCTCTCTCTCTCTGTTTCAAAAATAAATAAATGTTAAAAAAAAAAAA